ATCAGTAGTTCGGTCTACTTCGTAGTCGTCGACAGGACCACTGAAATGGTTTGGCTCTGACCACCTCTCCTAGAAGTTAGGGGGAAGGGTTGACGCCGATTATGCTACCACTCATTAATGGCTTCTCAAAGGCAAGTAATTACACGTAGGCATAATAAAGGAGAGGCCTTTTCAAATTTAGGAAGCTATCAGGCCTCAATAATGACTTGAGGACTTTATAGGAATTAATAATGCCATACCAATTATGTTTTATACGACAGTCTATCAAAACCGATAAACGGACTAATTGTATTATCCCCATGCAAATGAATGGAATGGGTCTTTCTGAAGAAAAAGTAAACACCAGTCACATTGAGTGGAGCTTGTCCGCGCTTCTTCACCTGGAACCGTTTCAGATGTCATTATTTGGAAGTATGAAGCGTAAAATTTCCAACCGAATTTAAAACCTTTCACTGGAGCACTCGGACGAGCATACTGTCTTTCGTCAGACAGTTTAGAGCAGGACAGGCTCTGTACACCACATCTTTGTCAAAAGAGGCATCAACTGAATTGGGCGAAACATCACATTTAGTGCCTCCAACAGTATCAATGGCTACTATTACATTGCATAAATATGAACTCCCTATTGATTTACCACAGGATAAGAAAATGACGTCTTAATTTAGTCACAATCAGAACACCAAAATAAATAAATTCACCACAATAAAGAAATTCACACCACAAAAAAAAGAATTGGAAAGAAAAGTAATTTATAGTACGAACGCGTTCGTATCAAATGTAACCATTTTACATCTGATTTGAATTTGGCCTAATTATTCTGTGAATATATATATAGGCTAGTTGGTGTAGGGCCGCCACTGCAGTTGCTATTCCTGAACGGTAAGTTGTTTTCCATTCTCGTGGGCTGACTTCTGGCACGAATGCATGTATGTAGTTGTGGTTGCTGTCGTCCAGACTAAAAACCTCGTAGAATTAAAAAGCTGTCTAGGGATAGTTTGTTTTGTTGGCTTAGGCGGCCTTAGCTGACAACAAATTACAACTGTCTTCACTGATTGCCCAATGTCTGATTTGGAGGCTGGTAATAGCGGTTGGGGAGAGCGGTTTGGTCGACGGTCACCATCGGAGCATAACAACCGCAGCATGGGTGGCGGTTTACCGAATAAGGCCTCCTCCCTTAGTCTCTTGTCGTTGTTGGGGTCTGCAACGGCGTTTTCGAGGTTCATGGGTTGGGGTAACGATTCCACGGCAAACTCTTCTGATGCTCTCCCAACTCAAGTGGAACGATTCTTTCGAGGTGACTAATGGCATGTATGAGAGCAAAGTGTGACAAAATCAACCTCCTCTCAACTGTTTCGACAGTCTTTCCAAGTGAGTTCAAGCTGGGATGGTTCATTGACAAGTTTGTCGAGTATTTCAGGTCTGTATGCATAGCTAGGATATATCTCCTTATATTATTATCACTAGTGTACGCTTTGATGTATTCTTACTATCCTACACCTTTTCGCTCATTAATAAGCCATTGCGGATCCACGTGTCAGTTGGTCTGGATTCTACTCATACCTGTATCCATCCTCCATCCTTTCAAAGTTTCAACCTGTCGTCTGCTGACTGAACAGTTTGGCGAGTCGGCTACGCGGTGGCAAATCAAACAGTTTGCCCATGGTGATATTTAGGCGTGACTTTCTTTGTTCATGGATCTGTTCGTCGTGCACCTTCAATTGACGGTTCACTTGTTCCGTCCACTGTTCCCTGCTCTAATACTGGAATCAAATCCCCAAACCTATGCCCCCTGTATGCATACACCCATCCATTCATCCATCTATTCCGTACCTATGTCTTCATTTCGTTGCCCTTTGTTTACATATTCATAGTCGGAAGTTGTAATGTTTTCTCGTCCACTTGCTCTATTTTTCGTTGAATTTTCTCCATTGTGTAGACTCGAAGCTGTTTATAGCGACGTCGATTTGTGTCTTGTGATTTCACCAGAGGCGGTGTGGCGCATGGGAGGTAACGAGGTGGTGCTGCAGGAAATCTCTTCTCTTTTGGGCAGAGGCAGTGAGTCTTTTACTTTTACCATATTATCCTACTTATGAGATAAATATTAAGGGACGATTTGTACTTGGGGTGTTTTGGATACCATCACTGAGGAAGAAGTGAATCAGTCTGCTCTACGACTGGTTTTATGTAGAAGCTGCCTTCTAAGAGATGCGTTACAGGTTGAAAGAAGTGCTACGTAAATGTAGCAGAAGAGCGTGTGGAAAGAGGAATGTAGTTTCTGCTCCTGAAACGTGTTCCCTGTATGGAGGCAGGAGGGGAGATGGCGTGCCTTTGTTAATGTCCCGTTATAGTCACTGCAGTGATGATTAGGTGTGCAGCAGGACGTGGTGAGGCATCTGTTGCAGTTGAGAGGGCAGGGAGGGGCGGACCGGCTGAATCAATAAAGATCGTAGATGCGTTTCTTTTTATTTACGTTGATCTTTTCTAGGTTTAATCATATATTGTTTCGTGATACCCGCAAAAGTGTTAATTCTTAAGGTTCGCGACCAACAGTCGGATTTTCAGTGCGATTTGAAAGTCAGCAATGTGGTAGGCATTTATAACACTCATCTCCTTGCCACGTGCGCCCGAGGTAGGACTATCTTCACTTCTCTTTGTTGAAATCTCTCTTCACATAGTGTTGGGGCAAAAATGAATCTGCATTTACCCAATTTAATAAATCCAGGTTAGGTAGGAAAAAGGCGTAGTTGTGTTGCGTTCCTTTTACTGTACTTCATTGTGTCACTATAGCTTTGTGTCGGGAATGGTTTCGAAACCTTAATGTGGAGTGTGCGATGTTTGGGCTGCCTAGGTAGGGTTGAGGTCTCTCGTGAACCAAATGCTGTCTCCATCAAGGTTGGCAGGTTATCAACTACCGATTTGTGCTTGCTTCATTGAAGCGAACGTAGTCCTTCATCAGGACCCTACGTATCGGTTACGGGTGTGGTTTTTAGTGCCTGGTATTTCACTTATAAGTACAAGAGTGTTACGGTAGGCTGTTGATTCACTGGTTTCGCTTTACTACTTACTGTGTATAAGTAGAAAGTAGTCTGTTGGGCCTAATAAATACTTGCAGTTTGAGTGTGTCCAACTGCTTACCTCTGAGTAGACTTTGCCGTCTTATGTGGTTTTGTTTTTGTCCATTCACAGATGATCGCTGGATGGGTCGAATTCTGAGTCTAGAAAATACTGGGTGCTTTACGTTGGAACGAGAATAGTTTTATTTCAGTCCTGGAAACTACTGCCATTAGAAGATTTGTGGACATTTGCCAATGAATATTAGTTGAGAATAAGGAGGATGCGATGATGCTAAGAGAAGTGGAATAATTATGCTTTGACTTGAGTGAAATACTTTTGAATTGGTATGTGGGTTTCCCGGTTTTCCACTGTGATTGTGACCACACTTCCTAGAAGAGATGTTGTGCTGCTGATGTGTACTTCTTGGTACTCCTCCTACCGTGGTCTGTGTACAGATGTGGCCCCAGTGGATGTGGTGTGAAGAACATTGTAATATTTTGCTAGATGTGGGTGCTGCATGTACTTTTATGGCATCTACACCTCTTGCAGAAGTTCTTCGACCGCAATCGTCCATTGGAGGAAGTGGATATGGATTTAGAGCTGTCGTGGGACGAGTTGCGCAGTGTCAACAGGTCCACGTTAGATGAGCTCTTTGTCGGTTTCATCGCCTACTATGCCTGCGTCAAATCGGCATTTACCGCATAACGATCGAGCCTCCGAGATCATCGTTGAAGGTGAGTATGGGTGTTGTGGAAGAGATTATGATAGAGGCCTGCCCCATTTAGTCATTAAACGCTGATTCGATGCTCTGCTTTGGAAATGGAGCTCTTTCAATGCTACTTCTTAGAAGGGGGTAGGCCAGCTTCTTTTGACTCGAATGTACGTAGGGAGTAGAGTGGAAGGCCAGGGGAATAGGTGGCGTCTTTCGTTTGAATTGGTGGATGTGGCGTTCTCCGCGAGAGGAACATTGTGGCAAAGGCGTTGGTTTGGGGCATGTCGCGTAGGTGTGTAGGATATTCAATGGTGAAGGGAGGGTATTGCAAGGTTCATCGCTGTTCCTGTGGTACAACATTGACCTGAACACGAGGTTGGGAGGGTGAGACAGCGTACTTTTGTACTGTGTTTGAATAGTTGGGTTGAGGAGCGTGTAGTAAGGTAATTGGTTGACTAGGTATCTCGGTGGTGGTCGTGCTGGAATTGGAGAGGTTATCAAAAAGTGACAGGACTTTGGTGGTGCTAATGCAGGGTGTCTGGATGGATTGGGTCATCGACAGCACTGGAATTTTTGTGGTTGGTGGAAGAAATCGGAATAGTTGTCGGTCTTGCTGTTACTGATGTGGCCTTTTGAATGATGGTGGTTAGATTAGAAGCAAATACTTTTTTGTCACCTGTTTTTATCCACTGCAGATCCTCGTGGTAATGTCTCTGCCGAATGCACCGTCTCTGATGTTGCAGTGGTTGGAGAAATTCACCGAGCGTTTGTTGACACCGATGCAGTTCTGGAAGTGGTTAAGCCCATGGATTCCCTCTGAATCGTCGCCGTCGTGATTGTCTACATTGAACGAAGGTTGCCTTATTGAGAACAAAGACGATGGTTGCTTGTTCATGTAGTTCTCACTCCCCTTTCTTCCCTTCTTCACTAACTTGCATGTGATTTGTTAATTTCCTTCTTTGGTAGATGAAAACAAAATGTGTCGTGGTGAAGTCTTGAACAAATCTGTGGTTGCCTGCACTCACGGTGAGACCAACTGCGGGAATGGAAGCATTGGTACGAGGTGTATGAATTGCCAAAAGTGGTTCGTCTATCGTTGTTTGGTGTTCTTGTTTGACTCTCATCGTTTGATAATTGTCGTTGGTCAAGGAGTTTGTTTGTTTGGCTGGTT